GGCGATCGCGTCCGATATTACTCTGAGAGGCGTGGAAACGAATTCTCGCGTGAATGCAGCCTGGTTGAAATGGCGCTCGATGACTGGCGTTCTCTGCGATAAGAATATACCAGAGCGTCTCAAATCCAAGATCTATAGAACCGTCATCCGGCCGGTCGCCATTTACGGTGCTGAGTGCTGGCCTGCGACTAAAGAAGTTGAAGCCCGTCTCAGTGTGATGGAGACAAAGATGCTGCGCTGGACAGCCGGAGTCACACGATTAGACCACATTCGTAATGATGTCATCAGAGAGCGATTCGGTGTGGCTCCGATTGTTGATAAGATGCGCGAAGCCCGTCTTCGATGGTATGGTCATGTTCTTCGCGCGAATGATGACAGTGTCCGTAAGATCGGTCTCAACCTTGACGTGCCGGAAAGCGGCCTAGAGGACGCCCGAAGCAGCGATGGCTCGATACGTTGCACGAGACTTGAAGTCGTTAACATCCACCCCGATCAAGCATTTAATCGGGAAAAGTGGCGTCAACACATCAGAAAAGCGGACCCCGCCTACAAGCGGGACAAACGCTAAAGAATAAGAAGAAGAAGAAGTGTTGTGGCGATTTCAGCTCAGAATCAGGTGACCAGTAATATAGTGTACGTCATTGTTATTCTGCGGCCGATGACCAATAATTTTCATTATGAACCTCAAGAATTAATGGGAAATGTTAGGTTTCTAACAAAATGCTAAATTTTCTTGCCCACGCGCCATTTTTACTCTCTATGACAAGTATATAACTCCCCGCTAACTCCCCGTAAACTAGCATTCTAGTTATAAAGCAGTTTTTTTCTTGCGAGAATATTCCAACCACTCGCTATTACCACACCTCTTAAGGCCCAAAGCGGAACTAAGTCTCTCTGATTTTCAGTTTGGCACAAATTTTGTTGATTTTTTTGATTTGCGAATTTTTTTTATTTGGAATGTGGTATCTTAAGCTTGACAAATGGGGCCACCTGGAACGGTAATCTTGTGTAACCTATGCTTTCGGTGGTCCAGTGGCGCATCCTACAAACAGATGTAAACCCCTGTAAACCACGATCACTTTTCATGGAGCCCATCTGAATAATCATGCAGTTGTTAAGTAGTGTTTAAAAGTTGACTTACAGTAGCGGTCAAAAGTCTTCGCCGAAATTGTTTTTCGACTGTAACTTTTTTTCCGCTGAATCAAATCAATTCAAATTTTAATATGTTTTAGAGATAGTCCTACTTCACTTAAACGGCATATTTGTTTCGGATTGAGAAAGAATTAAGAATGGAAAAAATCATTTCACTAGAAATTCTCGCGTATGAGCAAATTCCAAGTAAGTTTCAAATTACTCTAGCAAGCTTACAATTCAACAAAACAATCTTACGCATGATGAATAACATTGAGCAGGTCCAATACTTTGTTAATGATCTTCTGGGTCGCTGAAATACTAACAAGGCCTAAGTAAGGAATCAGTCATTGAATGCACTGTCTACTAGGGCAGCTTCCTCCACTTCTCTTGAAATTTGACGAGTTTCTCGCCCATATTCCGGCTCTTATTTCCACCAAAGGTATCCCTACTCTTTCCCATAATGTTTCGATGGCGCTCAGGGACATTGGTGTGAATTGTTCCCTTCGTTGAAAGCGCGCCATGCTGGCGAAGCCACTCCTTCACAGTGAAGGTGTGATGCTTTTGGTCGCACTAATGCTAGAAGGCGAGCTCAGTCGCGGGCAGCTGTCATACACGTGGATAAGAGCTCCTTCTAGAACCCAACTGTATAGGCTGCCTTCACATGATTGCGAATACTGCGAAGTTAGTCGGCGGTGAACTGGTCGGGGGCGAAATGGGCTTACGCACACCTAAAGTGGGGATCCCCATAGGGCTACAACGTCCTGCGGACCAACGAGAGTAAATTCAAGATGTTTGCCGGCGACTGAAATAGGAATGTGTGCGGTCCTGAGGAAAAACGTTTCGATCCAAGGAATTAACTGCCGTATGTAAAACTTGGCGGAGGCTCGCGTGTGGTAGTCCGTAAAAGAAGTTTTACAACTGCACAGGATTAGAGAAGTGGTGAATGCCGACGTATCAGATAGATTCTGGAAGGAGTTTCGTATCCGCTCGTATGAAACTGTACGTGACTGAGTTCGCCTTCTAGCTATAGAGCGACCAAAAGCATCGCACCTTCACTGTGAAGGATTGGTTTCGACAGCATGGCGCGCTTTCAACGAAGGGAACAATTCACACCAGGAAAGAGTAGGGATACCTTTGGTGGAAATAAGAGCCGGGAATATGGGCGAGAAACTCGTCAAATTTCAAGAGAAGTGGAGGAAGCTGCCCTAGTAGACAGTGCATTCAATGACTGATTCCTTACTTAGGCCTTGTTAGTATTTCAGCGAACCCAGAAGATCATTAACAAAGTATTGGACCTGCTCAGTGTTATTCATCATGCGTAAGATTGTTTTGTTGAATTGTAAGCTTGCTAGAGTAATTTGAAACCTACTTGGAATTTGCTCATACGCGAGAATTTCTAGTGAAATGATTTTTTCCATTCTTAATTCTTTCTCAATCCGAAACAAATATGCCGTTTAAGTGAAGTAGGACTATCTCTAAAACATATTAAAATTTGAATTGATTTGATTCAGCGGAAAAAAAGTTACAGTCGAAAAACAATTTCGGCGAAGACTTTTGACCGCTACTGTATATTCTTACTGTCTCCTCTGAAATTATATAATTCCTATCAAAGCGTTTTCAGGTTGTATGGCTGTTACGAAAATCTGGTAGGAGGGCACCTTTCTGATGCCTTGCAGGATGTTTCCGGAGGAGTTGCTGAAACCCTAAATGTAGCCAAGTTCCTAGCAAATGTAAGCTTTTGCTTTGAAATGATTAATTAAACGCGGATTTTGTCATAATTCCAAATCTCCCACTTGGCAGAGCGTGGCGCGCATTTCAGAATGATTTCTTGCATATTGTAACAGCTCATACGCAGATTACGAAACCAGGTTCTCCTTCACTGGGAGGATGAAAATGACTAGCAGTGGTGATGAAGAGTCAAAGTACACATCTCGAATTGACAAAATTTTCGCTTTTTGGACTGGAGCTCCCGAAGTGGCTAAAAATAGCGTAAGCTCCTGGTGTCATGTTCATTATCACGGCCATCATTAGCCGTTAAATAATGTTTACCGCATACTGGGTGGGAAAAATTCTGAGTGCCAGAGCAGTGCCATATGGCGCCAAAATGGCATCAAATAATTTCTTGCCTGCCCAAAATGGACGTGGTATCTGTGTTCACCACACTGGATGTCCCCCATCCGAAAAATATCCACTGATAAGCCACTAGTAAACCCTGCACCCAAGCGAGTGACTTGTCAATTTCTTCACTATCTTCCACATATAACAAGAGATTCAACTTCAAAATGGACAATAAAATTTACGCGCCCTTTAGTCTGAGGACAGGGAGACAAAAATTTCAGCAATGGAAGAGTACTGCTTGCAGTTCTCAATTTGAACACTAGGAGTTCTTGATGTGTATTCTGTGCTCCGATTTCATCACATGAATACATCACATGATATCAATTCGAGGATGGACAGTCCTTGCACTTTTCCAGAAGTAATTGCTCCATCTAGCCGCGTGTTACATTGCAAGACGGTTCAGCCTCTCCATGAAACTTTACGAGACTACCGTTACGAGACTACCGTTACGAAGTTCAAAAGTTATTTGCTAGCATTAGGCCTAGACGTGGGATTATTGTTTCTCTGACACCACGAGAAGTATTGGGGCGACCCATAAATTCTGGCCGAATTTCGACACTTCGTTTTCTTCGAGATTTTCTTTTTCTGAAAATCAATTAATCAAAAATATAACCACCATCATAATTGCATCCATTTGCCTCAATATCCCTTCCTTGGATCTACTCACACCCATGATCCGATCACTGGTTCTCTTCGAGCGCAGGCGTAACCCTTGTAGGACCCCGCTACATTTATTTATTTATGCGTTTGCCTGAGTGTGCCAATAGAGGAAAGTAGGGGCAGATGTAGAACTGTTGAAGAACTCAAACAATCAAGAAAATTGAGCCAAGCCAGCAGTGGCAGAACGCTGAATTTTTAGTACACTGCGACGCATAATCTTAGTTCCACCCATGAATCTTCCGAAAACTCACCTTACAAGATGCTTCAAAAAAAGTCGTAAGGAAGAAAAGTTATTAAGGACAAATGTGCGTCTGCACATCAGCACCAAATTTGAATACCAGAACGCAGTATATTTTTTTGCTCATTTTCAAGAAAAAGTTGCTCTGCCAATGCAGCATAATCTTAGTTCCACTGCACGTTTTTTCGCCGTAATTAAAGTTTGCACCAATGAAACTGCTCTGATGATAACATTTCCTCCTCTTTAGGTCATGTCAAAAGGATTTCCGCTTTCAAACGCTGAAAAAGGCGTTATTATCGAAAAAAGGCTACAAGGACTGTCAAATCGTGAAATTGCTCGACAACTGGGTCGAAGCCACCATGTCGTCAACAATTTCCTCAAAGATCCGGCAGGTTATGCTACAAGAAAGAGCCGAGGACGTCCTTCTCTCCTTTCGGACCGAGATAAGCGAAGCATTTTAAGAGAATGTTCGAATGCCAACAAGATATGTCGGGAAATCAAATCTTCGTAATAACTTCGTATAGAAGAGATACCTTGTGGATGTGGATATTGAGTCAAGTTCATACAAAGACGGAAGATGAGAAAGGCGCCATCAATGACAGAAAAACACCGCGCAAACCGAGTTGAATTCGCGAGAAGATGCAGGGGGACCGAATGGAATAAGGTGCCCGCTACTACCTCGTGCTTGCCTTCCTTATGTTGAATTTTCTTTCTTTTAGGTGGTGTTCAGCGACGAGAAAAAATTCAATTGTGATGGCCAGGATGGGAATCGGTATTACTGGCACGATCTAAGAAAAGAAAAGCTTCGTTCTCAAGACGGAACTTTAGAGGAGGCGGCATCATGGTCTGGGGTGCCATCGCATCAACGGGCCGTCTGAAACTCTGCTTCGTCCCTAAAAAGATGAATTCGTCCGACTACAGGGAGGTCATGCGCCGATGTCTTCTTCCTTTTTGGCGTCGGAACCAGAACCAAAATCTTGTTTTTATGCAAGACAACGCTCCGTTCACGTACGTCAGTAAAAGGTCTCGGGAGTGGTTTGATCGCCATCGAATCACTCTCCTTCCTTGGCCAGGAAACAGTCCCGACTTAAACCCCATGGAGAATGTGTGGGGATACATGGTTCGGAAGATGTACGCCAGAAACGCCCAATTTCGAGATGTCACAGAGCTTAAAAGAGCAATTGTTGAGGCTTGGCACCAAGTCAATGAAAATCTTATTCACATTTATTCGAGTATGAACAACCGCGTCTTTCAACTCATTCGAAGAAATGGATCTAACTTAGATTATTAAACTTTCCTGTGTTTTCCTGTTTTTGCTGAATAATTAAATTTGCTAAGTGGAACTAAGATTTTGCTGCACCGTCAGAGCGCTTTTCTTCAAAAAAAGTTTATAACAATTCTTTGTATTCTCAACTCGAAGTTCTGTGTTGTTATCCGAATTTGTACTTACATTCAATAACAATAAATCGTTGGAGACTTTTCCAGAAACATGTCAGGGTACGAGCTTTTCCGAAATTCATGGGTGGAACTAAGATTATGCGTCGCAGTGTATGTGTACGAGGGTAAGGGAAGATAAGAGTTCATCTACAGACAGTAGGCCGCGCACGCATCAGTGACTGAATTGACAGCTTTTGTCATAAAGAAACTGATCAGCTAATAACCACAGCAGTTGGCCATGGTGCCTCATTCAGGAAGGAGTCATGAGACAAAGTCGGCACTTCGGCGCAAGGGTACACCATCCGTCCTGGTGTGTCTTGAGAGTCGCTTGAGAGTTTACACGATTTTCCTCTGATCTCTAGGTGTTACCAACAGATTTGTTGATCTCTTATAGGCTGTTGGTTTCATCCTGTGCTACTAGAAGTCGGTGGTGTAGCCAAACATGCCTGGGGACGCTTTTATGTCTATGGAATGTGATGAGCTTTTGTGAGTGTGTCATTTCAGGCAACATCGGATGCATCTCAGTCCCTGTTCAACAACCTGAAGGAAGCATTCGACAATGAAGCGCTGATTGTTGCTGCAATAGCGGTTGTTCTATTCGCCGTCGATCGTTTTATCTCAAAGTTCTTTGTTATGAGATTGTTTGATTCTGTGACGCTTAAGGTCAATCCATCACTTTTTGTTCAGGCGAGGTCTAAGGGAGAAATTGAGGAGGCCCTAGATTGCGGCTTGGTCAAAGGACATGCCTACGCTGTCACAGCTGTAAGATATGTGGAGCTGGATGCTAAGTCAAGCGTTTTCAGGTCTATTTTGAGGATTTTTGTGGTACCTTAGCAACCTTACCTTGAGCAATAATTATCCGCCGTTTTCATTTCACTCATAAGTTTATTAACAAAACCAAACAAAAACAACAATAAATGCGTAATCAACAAACGCTCTCGAACAGTCCTCTGCAACCGTGCCTTCATCCCAGGCTTCATTGATTCTACGAGCAGATGCAGAAGCATTCGGTTTCGAGCTCAACTTGCACTCATGTAGCAGGGGCAATCTTTTGCTAGTGTGTAAGCTCCACAGTGAAGTAAATACACAAGTGCTGTACATCAAGAGATGGAACGCTACCAGACTACATCATACCCTTTGAAAATAATCCTCAAAAAGAACAGTGAAAGAAACAAAGAATCAAAAAACCATGAGTTTGAAAAAACGGCGCATAAGTATTGCTCAACCTAATATTTTTCTACTAGTACTGCTCCAAAATCTCAAGATCTTGTTTCATCGGAACTTCGCCTACAGGGGTAATTCGGTGTCCTAATTACGAAAATGACATTCATTTTTGGCGCTGGCGCATTTGGCGCCATTTCTGCTCGTCTGCGCCCTCGCACTGATTTGATCGCGATCAGGACTAAGCCTTTGGGGAAAGGAGGGCTCAGAGGTGAGTAGCCATTCACCCTGTGATCTCACACACTTCAACTTTTGCCACACGTGCGTGGTTTACCCACTCGGAGTCCTCCTTCTCCAAAGCTTAGTCTTAGGCACTAATGGTAAGTGAGAGAGCCCAGGAGAGCAGAAAATATGCGTTAGACAGCGCAATTCCAGAAAACGATGTCATATTCGTAATCAGGACATCAAATAACCCCTATACACAAGTTTACATTGAATTCGGTGAAAACAGCCACCGTGACAAAGTGGAGCCAATTGGCACAAAATGGCGCCAGCGTCAGAAATGAATTGGCTAATTTTTGTAATGTTCGCGAAGAAACAAGTACATTTCACATGCCCAATATCAAATAGTGGGAAGGAATGGGTGCACGAAAGCGATTCAATTCTGGCAACAAGCTCAATCTAAATAGCAAATTCTATATTTACCAGCCGTACCTTCTTGGTTTTTGAAGAGCGCCGCTTTGTCGTTTCCAATCCCTTTCCCTGGCACTGCATAAACGAACTGCGAAAATTGACTCACAGGGTTTTATTTGCAGCCACACGAATAATATACGAATACGGATGATTCGTCTCCAGAATCCATGGGGCGAGAAGGAGTGGAATGGACCTTGGAGCGATGGGAGCAGGGAGTGGGAACAGGTTCGTCAGTACTTTGGGAATACATAAAGGATAAAGGATAAAGCATTTGCCGTTGATCAATCCCTTTTTGGGATGCGGCACGCATTCTACTTCCATTTGTACATTCGTAGTGGCGTTTGAATGCGATGTGGCCTATACAATGACTTGCGGGGGCCAGCCGATGTACAAGTCAGTGTTTTTATCCTCCCAGACAAGTCTGGTACCAATTAACCGACCCCGGAGGGATGGAAGGCTTGGTTGGCGACTCACGACCCAGGATTTGATCCCGGACCGCTCGCGTGGTAAGCGTGCCACTTGTCACTACACCACTTCCGGAATACTTGGTTTTTAAAAGAGATTCTCAGTGAATTCAAGCTCCCAACTTACGCTGGAAAAGATTGCTTATGAAACTAGGGAAATCTAGCCTAATCTCGTCGAGTTTCTCATCGCACTCACACGAAAGAATCATCGTGATGCATAATATCGTTCATCTAAAGGGCTATTTTCTGTAGAGGATTCAGCTGTGCATCAATATCATGGAACTTTGAAGAGATCGGTAGAAGGCGGCAAAAATCGCAATATGTATTCAAACATTTGCATAATACAATCAATAGCATTTGTTCGATATCTCCCTCCGTCTTGATTACCGTCCTCGAGCGGTCGGGATATAACTTGGCCCTGTTAGATTGACGTATGAGCTTTGTCAAAGTGGTACCGCGCCAGTCCTTTACACCCCTATGTTCTGTGCACAGGGGAAGAGTCCTGTTGAAAAGTCCAGGTCTCCTCGCGCCGAGGCTCGGCCCCTGACAATGGTAACAAATGCTTCATCACAATCTTGCAAAGAAAGCACAGGCATCCCGTTCGTTTACATTTTCGATCGAACACCCGGTAGACCGGTGCCAGAAATCCTCGCCCACATCATGAAGAAATTGTTCTGCTCAGAACACAATCCTCCCTCTCTCTGTTTGGCTTAATTTAAAGGACGAATTCACGCTGGAAAGGCAACCCATTTCAAATTAAGTTAGCGATGGTGAGTGGTACACTAAAGAAGGAAAAACCATGCGAAACGGCCCAGAACCCGAGAAATGGGACCTTTCCTTGCCCGTTGATTTGAGCATTGATGCGACTATCATCGCTGTGCCCTCTTCAACGCTACGCTCTCTCACCTATCTAATCACTCACCACGTATAGACCTGCGGCGAGTGATCAGATGATCGGTGGGCGTGCACTGACCAGCCGCGGCGGGATTAAACCTTAATAGGTCAACGAGGTCAACTCCTCCTGTGCAAATTGTGCTTCAGTTCGCACACTTAGGAGCTCCGCGGGTCCCTCAACCAGGTGAATTCTTCCTAATTCGATTTTCCCTCTGATCGTGAATTCGTCCTTTAAGATGTGTGCGATACACTCAAGTTTTGAGGGTAGTAGGTTTCCTCCGCGTTGAAAATCTTCTTGTTTGTCAGCGTAGTCATCACGTGGTGGCCTTCCACTGGCCTTTCCTTTAGAATACAGTGGAGGTACCGGTATGCTAACCGTTACAAAAAAAAATAATCGTCAACAAAAATGGCGCGTAATGTTTGTGTAATATTTGTTTATGGAATGTCTTGTATTTACGCACCAATGGATATGCTGTATTCATGGCACAACACATTGTTAAAAAGAAAGAATGTCACCAGTCAAGAGCATGGCAGCATTATCAGTCTTTTGGAATAAAGCCAAGTACGAGCCCTACAGGGAGGGGTGTAGAAGTATCTATCACTCTAAAAGTATTGTAAGTTATCCCGGAAGTAGTGAGAGTTTTAGACCCTTGATTTCAGTGCGTCATATCTCGGCTAAGGCAAACATTATTAACACGTTGGCGGCCAGGCGGATTTTGTAGGTGTGTGCCGCGTGGGACCACCAAAAACGAGCAAGTTTTTTATTGCAAAAGTTGTAATATCGCAAATTCAATGCGCTGATCACGAATATAACAGATCTGAAGCGCTCGCTCCATTGGGCGCCAGTTTGGCGCCACGAATACTTTTCATGTTCGGAGAAAAGCTGTGTGTGGGGATTATTCTCTGCCCTGACGACAAATATGTTAATTTGTAGCGCCACAGTTGCTCACCAGCTTTGATAAGAACCCATATTATAAGAATGTCAAAGTAATTCCAATATTCCATATACTATTGTATAT